GCCAAAAAAAACATCCAGAACACCCTAGCAACCAACTAGGATACCCTGGCAACTGCATAGCAACAACCTAGCAACCAGCTAGACTACCTTAATAATCTGTCTGTCGTCTCTCTATCTATCTATCTATCTATCTATCTATCTATCTATCTATCTATCTATCTGTCTATCTGTCTGTCTGTCTGTCTATTTATCTGTTTGTCTGTCTATCTATCTATCTATCTATCTATCTATCTATCTATCTATCTATCTATCTATCTATCTGTCTGTCTGTCTGTCTGTCTGTCTGTCCATCTATCTGTCTGTCTGTCTGTCTGTCTGTCTGTCTATCTATCTATCTATCTATCTATCTATCTATCTGTCTGTCTGTCTGTCTGTCTATCTGTCTTGTCTGTCTTATCTATTTATCTATCTATCTATCTATCTATCTATCTATCTATCTATCTATCTATCTATCTATCTATCTATCTATCTATCTATCTGTCTGTCTGTCTGTCTGTCTGTCTGTCTGTCTGTCTGTCAGACTCCATGGTCATAGAACCTTCAAACTTAACGCGCTTAAAATTACTTTTTATGTTTTATGTTCTTTTTAACTCAGTTGATTTCCATAATATTTCTAAATAAAAAAGGATGGTCGAGGAGGAAACGTGATTTTATCCTCCAGGCATCGACAAGCCTCCATACGAAGGTGACTGACGTCAGATATAAAAAGGACGGTTGTTTCAGAGGTTTAGTAAGTATATTATTATTATTAAATCATTCTGTTTTCTGTGTAGAATAACATGCACTGATGGAATTGTTCACAGTATCCTTCTGAAAATGTATTAAGAAGTAAATTTTGTCTATTTCTTTGGATTGTTTTCCTCTGCGCCCACACCTGACCAGTGCTTTCAGAAGTACTTATTTAAAGTTGCATTCTCATGCGCTCACAAAGCGAAGTCCATCCGTGCGTTCAGAGTCTTCTGGGGATGCAAAGCCGCGTCTCCATGGCGCCCGGGGGGCGGAGCTTCCACGCTGCTATGGGAAAACAATCTGGACAATCTGAAGGACAGACAGAAGAACTGCAACAAAAGGCTTTAAGAGCGGCAGACAGCTCGTTCAAACCCCGAGCGCGTATGTGTGAGGCATTGTCTACATACACACCATCCATCAAGCGGTCAGGTGGCTCTCTCCCTCTCTCATCATTCTCTACAGCGCTCTTTCTACAGCATGAAATCAATTTTTAGCTCCTCATTTCCTTTGCCAAGAAAAGAGGCAAGTCTGCCAGACACACACACACACACACACACACATTCCTCATGTATTCCCTTAGGACTTGTTAGGTGGAGTCTGGGCCTAAGTCTTGCCTAATTTAAAATAAGAAGCATTTTAGTTCACTGATTATGATCCTAAAACTTTTCAAACACACACACCATGATCAAAGATGCACACACACTCACATACATACACTGTCTTCATTGTCCAGACCACCCAGTGTGTGTGTGTGTGTGTGTGTGTCAGAGAGAGGAGTTACTTATCTATAGTTAGGGGATCAAAATATATATATATCTGCCTCCAAAAGTCAACTAAGATTTTTTAGGGAACAAAAAAATAAATATTTTTATAATATGTTACCTTTTTATTTATTCAATATTTTATGCATATTTTTATATAAAAGTGAAAAAAGTTTTCTACTAGGATTTGAGTTAGTTATAGTAGCTAATAATAACCCATTTTATATAAAACACTCTCTCACTTCACTTTCAAAGTCACAATTCTCATATGGAATATTATTGCAGTTTATCCTTTTGCAGTAAAGTATTTTTGTATTATTATTATTTAATGATTATGATGGTTTTTATTTATTTATATATTGTTTTATTTTCATATAAAACATATGTATATATTTTTAATGTTTTGGTTATTCTATTGAAATAATAATTTTGCTGTATATAAAAAACATTTGCATCTTTTTTAGAGAGCTAAGCTAGCTCCAGTTTTTCCCTTACATTCACTATAGTAATTCTAATATGGAATACAAGCAGTTTTCCAATGAACTCTTGGTGATGTTTTGGTGGAAAACGTTGAGGTGAAGACACTGAATTTCCAGTAAAATGTTCCCGATATTCCATTGGAATGTTTCTGATGTTCCAGTGGAATGTTTGTGATGTTCTGCTGGAGCGTGTCAGATGGCTGTCCAAAATCCAGTGCGTTATCCCGTTAGTATTTTTCTCATTATTTTCTCTGTGTCGGAGGAAAACAGATGGAGAGGCTGAAAAGAGAAGATGTTGTGACGGGATTTTCATCATCTTCTCTGTGAATCCAAAGAGGCTTTGTGTTGTGTTATCACGGCTTGATGAGTGACGCGCGCGCACGCACACACACACGGCGCGGGCTGCAGGTGCAGGATCCTGGAATGTGTTTGAAATGATGTTCACCTGCAGGGGCCGTGAGAACCTGAGGGACTCAACAGAAACACGAACTCCTCGGAGATCAAAGGTCAGAGGTCATCTTCTTGCTCTCATGTGAAATATCCACTCTGGATATTGACACACACACATATTAGAGTATTTCTCATCAACCAATACAAATCTTGAACAGGTGCAGTGAGCGTCTCCCAGTCAGGATATGAGAGGAGGAGGAGGAGGACTTACATACATATATCCAAGCTATGCATCAATTAATTGAAGAGTCAAAATGTCAAAATAAAATAAATAAACATGATTAAAGATTCATTTAAATCATTAAAGATTCATTCAAAATCATTTTTAGATTCTAATGATTTTAATTAGATTAATTAGAATCATCTTTCGTGATGTTTTTTTGTGCCCTCATAATCTTTCATTAAAATAAGTTCCTCTCCCTCCTGCAGCTTCTCTTTTGATGATGCGTTTGCTGACGTGAGGGCGGGACAACCTGTCACTAACTGAGATCCACCAATAGCAAACCACAATTCCTGATGGACAAAATAGAGTCCCGCCTTACATTTTTTCTTGTTCGAAAAGCCATTTCACTTAGATATAGCCTAGGTCCATGTCATAATAGAGAAGAAAGAACCATCACAACTTATAGTTCAATGTTGACAACATTTTGAATCTTGTTGGGCTTGTTAAACTGTCTACATATTTGCACTCTGTTTGTTGCATTGCATTATGATTTCTGAATCGTGCTGTAAACTATTTTTTTTTTTTCAGAAAGCAACTAAATGAATATGTGAAATCCAAGTTAAATTAGCTACTTAGGAGGATGGTTAGATTTAGATGCAGAATGGTTAGTTCCAGGTAAATGTTGTAACAACACTGTAAAGTGGTTGGAGAAAGGCAGCTTTTCTGAAGTGAATCAATTGAACTAATTGCTTTGCTAATTGTTTCACTCTTTTGAAGCGTTCGGGAACACCACAGGCTGGCGACACCTGCTGGTCAAGCGGAAATTAGACCAAACATGTAACGTTATATGGGCTCTATGCACGGCGTTATTTCCGGTGAAGGATTAAGGATGCTCGATAACTTCCGCCGATCATAGAGTCCAATGCAATACCGAGAATTTATATTGAATTTTATACTCCATGGTTATACTAATGAAACGTTAGTCACAAGAACAGATAAAACAGACACCCCTCGTTGTGTTTATGCTTCTTTTTAAAATTATATTAAATAAACATAACTATATATAAAATTACATCTAAACGTATGTACGTTTCGTTTCAAAGACGGGAGGACAGTAAATATTGAAGACTCTGCCATAATCCCATTTTCTCCGGTTTTCCTCCGCTTTAATCTACACAACCGGAAATGGACGAGCATCCTTACGTCAAATGCGGAACTTATGCGTGCATATAGCGCATTGACACCTTTTACAAACCAATAGCAAATGTTTTCATGAAAGTCTAGCTACAAATAAATAAATGTTTAAATTAGTTCTATAAAATATATGTTATTTTAATCATCTATAGTGCTTGTTTAGTGTTTTATAAGATAGTCATTCTCCTTTTCTGTTTCATGCAAGTATCAGACTTCCTGGCTTTATCGGATTTTAATTGTTTCGAAATCAAGGTTCGAATCAGTATATGACGTAACGAAGCATCGTTTGTTGAACAAGCTCCGAACCACTGATTCGAAACAAAAGATTCGCAAATGTTTCGAAGCTTCGAAAGCGTCCATCATCAGTTCAGTCAGCCATCGGTGACCGAAAGCTAACGGACTGCCCTCTCGTCTCCAGGTACATCTACATCACACTCTCGTGAAGTGTTTCGGGCCTAACGCATCAACTCATGTTTGATCAGGTTCAGAGTGTGTGTGTGAAATCACAATGTGGATATAATTAGCTAATAAATCTCGCGCATAAACTCAGCAGCTGTCTTAATCAAACATACAAACACACATTCCTCACCTCACCTGACACGACACCCGAACAGCTGCCGACACACACACACCATGTTAAATCTTGGGTGTGTTTAATGTGGGAAATTGGCAAGATTATATACATCCAGACAGAGTAAGGTAACGTTACCCTTCACATTGGGATACTAATACGTTTGAGTGGTTAACAACAGATTGGCTAACGTTACTAGTGTAACTAACTACTGATATCGTTGACTGCATTGCGATTAGAGATTTAACGTTACAGTTATTCCACTCGATTATTTTCGTTCTTAAAGTTATTGCAACTAAACGGATGAATGTAAGTAACGTTATAGCTGACTAAGCAATACTTGCATTTCTTTGGAAGTAACACCAAAACGTTGAATTATTACCCATATAAACTATTAGGTTCCTAAATATTAATTTCATAATTAGTGGTATTTGCTAAGTGAAGCTGCTCTTGTTAAAGTGCATGTTAAGATTGATGGACCTTTAGTACATTGATTACTTCTAAACTCTTTGTTTTTGTTGTATTACGTTTCTATGAGTGGATATTCTGGTAACACAAAGGGTGCAGGTTCAAGTCCTAGAAGAGACAAAGGTTAGTTTTGCACAGACTGGTGTCTGCCGCCCTCTTGGGGAGAAAGAGGATTTGCTAGTTTGTGCATTAAATGGATTTATTGAGAATATATTATTAACCCATATTACACAGACAATTTAAATGTTAGACATAATTGTGGAGATTTCATGCCGTAAAGCTAAATGGTAAAATAAAACAAGCCACAAAGCAGGTTACAATAACGTAAATGATCTTGTGCAAGTAGGCTCATACGTATCATACAGACAGTGAGTGTGTATTTGAACACTAGTCTATGTTCATAAAGTTCCACTCTCCAGTTCCAGATCCACCTTCATCTTCTGCTTCTCCATCACCGTCTCCAGTTCTGTGGCTCTGTGAGCGTCCTGAGAGACACACACAAGTGTGTTTAATGCTTCTCATTTAGGTTGATTATTGCATATTAAGTTGGGATATTTATCTGGGTCCTCATGCATGCAGTACACACTGGCACCTATTTTTTTTTAATGATCTTGACTGCAATATACACAAAATAATCGAAATATTAATACTGTGATTTCTTCAAAAGGAATGGCACCAAAATGTTTTTCAAAAATTGCATTAAATATAAATTATAAAGCATTGGTATAGTGACAATGTTTTCACTCTGAATTCTAACGCTTTAATTACCAATTATTTTCATTGTAATAGACCAAAATGATGCTGTACATCAGGAGTGAGTGGATTTTGTGTTTGAATTTGAATTTAAATTTAGAATGTTGTTATTTAAAAGCATTCTAAATTTAGAAGTAGTTTGAATTATTCCGTAACCGTTATATAATTATAAAACCACAGAAGCGTATGATACCTAGATGAAGTAAATGGGTGTTTATGTACCTCTATCTGGGCTCTCTGTACGGTCAGCTGACTGTAGACTCTAGCGCCCTCCTCAGGAATAACAGCACGCAGCTCGTCTTTATTCAGAGAGAACAGCTGAGCTCCATTCAGAACCCGCAGACACTGAACAGTCCTGCGCACACACCAACAACAGCTCTTCAGTGATTTAACAATTATACAGCACATCTCAAAATGGAGACTACAAGCTGCTCTGATGATTCAACTAGTATGGGTTTCTCAGCTCTGGCCGCTTTCATGCAGAGTTTAGCTTCAACCTTGATCAAACTCACCTGATTGTAACTATCTAATAATAATCCTGAAAACCAGATGATCTTGTTCAGGTGTGTTTGATCAGGGTTGGAGCTTGTTCTTGTCTGTACTCGTGTCCTTGTGAATCGTCATCTTTTGTGGCCCAAGTACTGTCCCAATACATAAGTTTGCATTTTTGGCACGAACGGTTAAAAATCCCGGATGTGTTCTTGACACGCCCAGTTTATCGAGGATGCATCGGTTGGTAACTGGTGTGAACTTGAGGGCAGAAATATCCCAGCATTCAATTTGGCATTCGAGGAAGGAGAGGCAGGTCAATAGAGAGCTTCCAGTCGACCACCATCGAAAAAATATTGTATGGTAGTCAATGGCGAGAGACAACAAATATTTTGATCTGGTTTGAATTGTGCCCTGAATTACACATATGATGTTTGTCAATTTAAAAGATACATTTTAAAGTAAAGAAAGTCGCCGTTTGATGTAAAACCGTTGAGGTATAAGACTGTGAAAATACGTAATTACAAAGACTACAAACCCCATAGGTGCACATTTTCTCTCAATGAATGAAGCTAACTTTACTGAGGCTAACGTCTGTCATTGTTTCTATAGTCTTACGTTATAATCGTAACGTTACGCCGTCATGCCTGAGTGTTTTGTGTTCTGTTTTATGACAAACTGCGACGTTTTTGACTTTCATAATTATCTTTTAAATTGACAAACATCATACGTGTAATTCAGGGAACAGTTCAGACGAAATAAAAAGATAAGTTGTCTCTCGCCATTGACTACCATTCATATGAAGCGGAGGGGCGGGACTTAGGCTCTCTATACAGTCATTCGTTTTTCTACAATTACGTACGATATTTCATCACTAAATTCACTTCTGAGAACATTTGATGCGTGAAATCAACTGTAGATTTCAAATTTAGTAATTTTTACGAAAATGTATGGCGAATCGAAAACGTGACTCGCGCTATTCTCCCGCAGCCCTCACTCGTCCCGCTCGCCACAGTAAACATAATGAATGGCGACTGTAGACCGAATCTTAATTTAACTTGCTATCATTATGGCATAAATAGTCGAGTGAACAGCTGCATTTACGTTAAGTAGCTTAAATCAGTAAAAGTGTCACAATGTATTTCTAATACAGGAACGGCAAATTAGCATATTACCTTTTACACAAGAAAATTATTCAATAAATAATCGATACCGAGTCTACCGATACCGAGTCCCGATCCGATACTTATATCATAATAAAAAAAAGAATAAAGAAGAGTGAAAAAACAGATCCAGATTCCAGGATGCGTCTTATTTTTTATTTAATTCGCCTTATTTTAACATTTTACAACTCAGGGTTTGTTGTGTTAAATGTAGCCTTTTTCTTTCCACCTCTTGAAAACCCAAGTTTACACATCTCACAGTTTGCTATGACAATGTTGTCATCAACTTTATAACGTTAAGCATTAATATACTTATAAAAACATTGACAGCAAAATAGACCACAGAATATTTAGTTCTCTATTGACAGGTGCAATATTTTGAAATTTAAAATTTAAAATTATATTTATATCTGAATGTATGTCAAAACCTAGACTTTCAACCATCAAAATGTAATTTATTAATGTACTCGTGTACAAAATAACATAAATATAAATATCTTTTCCTGTTCTATTTTGCCTGGAAACGTTTCCAACACTCTTGCGTGTCACGTGAAAAATAGGCGTCGGTTCTATTTCTAGCGTGCACGGTTTTCCGCGTGTCACTCAGGCACTCTGCTAGCTAACCTGTTAACAACCTGTTAACCTGTCTAACCTGTTAACATGGGAGCCGAAATAAAAACGGAGTAAAATAGATGTGTTAAAAAATACAGAGAACGTATGTGTAAGCTATATCCGAGTCTGATGTGATCGAGCTTGATCGGATTGGGACATCCCTAAAATTTAGTTCAGTTTTAATATAAAATCATACTGAATGAACGTGGGGTCTGTGTTTTCCCATGGTCAGGGATGAGGTGTTACAGGCTGATTGTTAATAGTTGACTGATTGCTGTGGGAATGTGTTTCCTGACTCACGGTTCACTGAAGCCCTTCTTCTGCAGCCAGTTCTCCACCTCTGCTGGCGGCGAGCTGTAGTCCAGCGGCGCTGACGTGTCCGCCGAGCGGTGGATCGTCAGTCGAGGAGACAGGTTCTTCCCGCTGGTCAAGCGGTGCAGTAACTCATCGTTCACCTGCATCGCTGATCCGCGTGAGCACAAGAACACCGGAAGCAAAAACATAAAAAAAAACATCGTATACGTGAAATAAATCAAATAAAATAATCAGCTATTTGCCACATTTCTTATTTTTGTTTAAGTTGAAGTACTAAATTTACTAAAACTTATTTAAAGCTATATAGAGATTTTAAATAAATGATAAGAACATACATCAAACTTGCTAAAACTTTCAAATTAAATTAAAATACGAAGATAAAGTCTAATTCTACGGAAGCGTATTGCATTAACTTGAAGAGTTAGGTATGGTATGGGAAGAAAAAAAAATCTACTCTGTTTTTCTGAATTAACAAGTTAATTATCTCAGAATTACGAGATAATTTTTCATGGAAAAAAGTTTTTTGCTCTGTTTTTCTGAATTAATGAGTTAATTTTTCATGAGAAAAAAAATGTTTTGCTCTGTTTTTCTAAATTAATGAGTTAATTTTTCATGAGAAAAAAAAGTTTTTGCTCTGTTTTTCTGAATTAACTCATTAATTCAGAAAAATAGAAACTCGTTAATTCAGAAAAACAGAGCAAAAAAAAATCCATGAAAAATTAACTCGTTAATTCAGAAAAACAGAGCAAAAAAAAAATTTCTCATGAAAAAATTAACTCGTTAATTCAGAAAAACAGAGCAAAACAAATTTCCATGAAAAATTCATTTGTTAATTCAGAAAAACAGAGCAAAAACTTTTTTCTCATGAAAAATTAACTCGTAAATTCAGAAAAACAGAGTAGATTTTTTTCTTCAAGTGAATGCAATACGCCTCCGTATAATTCAAACTATTAACAGAAACTATAATACTATATCAGTGTTGCTAAAATAACACTCAGTTTAAGCTTTAGTCATTTTATGTGCTATTGTTCATTTAGCCTATTTTTATTTCAGATTTAGTCATTTCAGTACCCCAGCTTCTGTTTTTCATTTTTTAATTTAAAACCTTTAATTTAATCTGTGTATTTAATTTTATTTCAGCTTTCTTTCGAATACTCAAAGCGATTTTGTACTGGTTTGAGAAGCAGCTTTCAGTCTCAACGCCGTCTAGAAGAAACTTGAGATATTAAAGTCTAGGTTGCTCAACCTGTGTTTATACCTTTCTCTGTGTCCTCTGGCAGCGACCCGTGAATCATGCTGCGAGGCCGAGGAGGTCTGGGGTCAGAGGTCATGGCGGACGGGCTGGGAAGGGCGTTGGATATCGGAGGAGCAGCAGGAGGCTGAAACAGAGACATGAATGTCAGAGCGAGGAGGAGGAGAAGAGGAGAGATGTTTTGAAGTGACCGATGTGAGTTTGTACCTTTGGTGTGTTATGCATCACTTGGTTGTCGATGTGTGTGACCGGCTCCAGGATGTTAAACGGCACGAATCCAACTTCATTAAACTTATTACGGCACTTCCACCATCGCTTAGATGACTCCATCACCTGTATGACAGAGAAAAACAGGATTATTTGTATTATTATAACACTTAGATGTGTATGTATAATGGGGATTTATGCTTGAAATAAGTCATTCATGAAATAAAATAAATATATATGTATAATAAAATAAAACATGAATAAGCAGTCTACATGAATAAATAAACAATATATAAAATATATTATTATTATTACTAATATATCAAATTATATATGAGGATGTCTTTAATTGGGCAAGTCATGCATGAAATAAATAGACATAAAATGTACATGAATAAATCCCCAGAAATTGATTATATATTTATTTATTATTTATATATGTGCATATATCTTCATGCATGACTTGCCAAAATATATATATATAAATAGGAAGAATTTTTGAAGAGAAATTCGAAATTTTCTTCTAGAATGATAATTTTTTTCAAGCTTGTATATTTAAGTTCAGTAATTTCACTTAAATGACAATTAATAGGTAATCTTCATTGCCATTTAAGTGAAATTACTGAACTTAAATATACAAGCTTGATAATAAATGTATATTTAGAATAAAATGAATAAATGCACTGTATATATATATATAAAAGTAAGAGTAAGTAAAAATCCCCAGATGTCTCAAATAACAATAACAAAAACTCAAAAAAGAAAAAAAAGCAATATGTTTATTTTCAGATGGGGATTGGGTTGGTATATAGTATTATAATGAGGTTTATATAGAAGAACAGACATCACTGACGACCTCTAGCGTCTCTCCTTGAAGTACAGACAGCTCACTGTTGTTCCGCGCCACAAAATCATAACTGCATCGATACAGGCGCTCTATCCCACCGCCATCACTGAGGAAGAGAGACAGAGATGCTGACACTGAATGTACATGAATAACCTTTCATTTCTGAGATACAAAAGGAGAAACTCTGAGTCATTTAAGAGCAGAGACAATAGACAATGACTGAATCAAGGTGTGTTTCACACTGAAGCCATTATACTTCATTTACACTGAAGTGAAACTCCCGAGAGTCGACGCCACAAATTATCTTCTGTAAGTTAGTCTTTTGTTATTTGTGTAAACAAACCCTGGCCTATATTGATCCTTCCATTGGTCCGAAATTGATCTTTGTCCAATGTGATTGACTGTTCACAGAGCTACAGTTTCCTGTCACATGTCTGATGATCAGCTGAAAGGTGAAGCTGATCCCTGATTGGTCACATTTCTATATAAGGAGTAGTTCACTTTTAAAAAAAACTTTTGCTGATAATTTACTCACCCCCATGTCATCCAAGATGTCCACGTCTTTCTTTCTTCAGTCGAAAAGAAATTCAGGATTTTTCTCCATATAATGGACTTCAATGGGGTCCAAACGGTTCAAGGGCCAAATGAGAGTTTCAGTGCAGCTTCAAAGGGCTTTAAACGACACCAGACGATGAATAAGGGTCTTATCAAGCGAAACGATCGCTCATTTCAAAAAAAAAAAGAAAAAGTTTAAGTTTTATAAGCACAAATGCTTGCCTTGCTCAACTCTCCTGTTCGAACTCTTGAACGAATCTTTTTTCGAGTCATTTCATTCATTCAACTAACTTTTGTATTTATTTTTGAAATGAGTGATCGTTTCGTTAGATAAGACCCTTATTCATCGTCTGGTGTCGTTTAAAGCCCTTTGAAGCTGCACTGAAACTCTCATTTGGACCTTGAACCGTTTGGACCCCATTGAAGTCCATTATAAGGAGAAAATCCTGGAATGTTTTCATCAAAAACCTTAACTTCTTTTCGACTGAAGAAAGAAAGACGTGGACATCTTGTATGACATGGGGGTGAGTAAATTATCAGCAGAAGTGAACTACTTCTTTAACTAAGTCTATAAGTATTAATGTGATGATTCGGATGATTCTTCAGATGTGAATCAAACTTACAGTTCGTCTGTAGTCTGAGCGGGAGCAGTGTGACGGTCCGAAGCGTGAGACGGTGTCAGCTGGGTGTGACAGAAACAATTCAACATGTAAGCTCACAATGATGGACAAGGACATCACATTTATTGGGTTTTTTTTTTGTCTTCATGGTTAATTATGTTTTTAAATTCTATCTCTCCATCTGACTGTTTGGTTAGCATAAATTAATTATAAATAAATAAATGAAACAGCTCAGAAAGTGTAATTAAATTGAAATTTAAAGAGACTGTAATCAGCCTATCCAGCATTTATATTAGGGTTAATGTGATTTTTTAAAAATATTTTACTCAGGAAGGATGCATTAAATTGATCAAAAGTGACAGTAAAGATATCATATCAGAGTGATTTCTGACGGATCATGTGACACTGAAGACTGCTGAAAATGCAGCTTTGATCACTGGAATAAATTACATTTATCAAAAATACAGTAGAAATGTGAAATATTTTAAATTCGAATAATATTTCACATTTCTACTGTATTTTTGATCAGATAAATTGGTCTTGGTGAGCAGAAACGTTCAAAAGAATCAAACCGACCCCAAACTTTTGTACATTACTGGTCACAATAATGCATATCGGACGTAAATATTACATTACCTCTACTTTTGAGAGCTCTGCGTCCTGTTTGTGTTCTGACTCCACAGGATCGACCCAGCCAGCGGCGTCTGACCCCGGAGGCTTCCAGCCGTCCTGAAACACGAGTGTGTACGGCGCCACGGGACTCCGCAGAGCAGACCTACATAAGGTCAACCAGACATCAGCATGGGCACACATTAAAGGGACAGATCTCCAATTTTTTTAAAACTCTGCATCATGTACTTTTGGTGTGTCCAGTTAGGCCCTAAAGAGACCCATAATGCATTCTCCTGTGGCGTCAGGCTGTTCTGTAGCAGAGCCACGGCTCCTTGTGTCATCGCTGGGCTGGACACGGACGCAGCAAAACCAGGACCTCCTGTTGCCCTCACGATCTGCAGGCACACAAATGAAGGTGAGTTACTTTATTTTACTGCCACCGTTCTCCACACAATAGCGTACAAACCCTTTTGAAACAATACAGTGCAACAAAGGCCTTCGTTTGCTCAAGAGGAACATGTGCAAACATCTAAATGCACACGCACACAGTCAGCTTTCTTTACTCACCATGTCGAGCGGTTTGAAGACGTGATGCACGAGCTCCTCGGACGTCGGGTTGGTGATGACGGATTTTAACCGTGCCTGTAAAACAAACAGCATGACCTGCAGCTTCATACGAGTATCCGGCAGTTTCTCAAGAATTAAGCTCTTCAAATAGCAATAAACAACTATATAAAATAATGTTAATTATTGCATTAATAATTTTAATAATGTAAATATAAAATTAAAATAATACACATAGTATATGTGTGTATATATATATATATAATTGATTTCTTATCGAAAAAAGCAATAAATAAAATTAAATAAAAATTGAAAATTATATATATATATTATAAATATAATTTTCAATTTTATAAAATTTTATTTAAAGCTTTTTAGATAATAAATCAATAATAATAATAAATCATATTTGTAATACATATTAAAAAAGGATTTTAGCGATGTAAATAGCATTGTTTGGGAAACAATTAAACATGATAAATATAATATATATTTTTAATATATTTAATTACAAAGTATTATTAGGAATAATTAAATAACAAATATTAAATGAATAAATTATCATAATTTAAAATCATTCAAATATAATAAAAAATGAATTAATGAATTAATTTACACTGCAAAAGATATTCTGAACTTATTATTTTATATTGACATTAATTCATGACTCACCAACAGGCTGAAGGTGTATTTGAATTTCTGAAAACCATCAATAAACTCTTTCTCAGACGGCGGTTTGGCTTTAGCCGTGAGAAGATCCTCTGTAAAACACAAACACACAACAAACTCTCTGAAACACTGCGCTATTAAACGACAACTCGGCGCAAAATGAACCTTTGGTCTAATAACACACTCACTGGTACCTAGTCGTTTTGTTTTCATGATAATCGAATGTAAAACTGTTTAGCGTATAATGCTAGTATATGTAGCATAGAGTAATGAAAAATAAAAATCGCCAGTTTATACCACTAACAAGGCTCAAAATAGCCCCACACTCACACAGTAATATAATGAGGGTCCGTACATGCAAACCGAAGCATTGAGAACTGTGTAAGTGTACAGACCGTTTAATAAGAAGATACTTTATGAAGACAGTCCAGGACAGGAGCCATCTTTGGAAAACAGTCTCGACAAGTCGAACCACGCGCGAACGCCCTATACACTAATATGCAAAACAGTTCAGATAAAACCCTTTACATTCGATTATCATGAATACAAATCTCAGAGAACGGTCGACTAGGTCGTGTATTATTAGACCAAAGGTTCGTTTTGCGCCTTTAACTAAATAAAAGGAAGCGTGTAAGAGAAGATTTCCAAGTACACTCTGTTCTTGGAATAAATGCAGATTCGTGTAAGATGATGCAGGTGTATTGTTCTGACTGAGAATATGTCCGTGTAAAGAGTGAACACTGCTGACGGCCGTGAAAAAGCTTTCCCATCAGGAACTGTGAACTGACAACAGACCTGCCTCTGCTGATAACAGCGCACTACAGTAAGCTCTTCACAGACTGCTCAATTCACTTATCAATCATTTTTTTGCTCTCTTTTGATAAGCATTCAGGTGTAAAGGAGTAGTTCACTTGTAAAAAAAACTTGCTGATTATTTACTCACCCCCATGTCATCCAAGATGTCCACGTCTTTCTTTCTTCAGTCGAAAAGAAATGAAGGTTTTTGATGAAAACATTCCAGGATTTTCTCCATATAATGGACTTCAATGGGGTCCAAACGGTTCAAGGGTTTCAGTGCAGCTTTGAACGACACCAGACAATGAATAAGGGTCTTATCTAGCGAAACGATCGCTCATTTTAAAAATAAATTTAAAAAAATACGTTTTATAAGCACAAATGCTCGCCTCGCCTTGCTCTGTTCTGTGATGTGTGTCCGTGACTCTCCTGTTCAAACTCAAAATGAACGAATCTTTTTTCGAGTCTTAGATAAGACCATTATTCGAGTCATTTCATTCATTCAACTAACTTTTGTATTTATTTTTGAAATGAGCGATCGTTTCGTTAGATAAGACCCTTATTCATCATCTGGAATCATTTAAAGCCCTTTGAAGCTGCACTGAAACTCTCATTTGGACCTTGAACCGTTTGGACCCCATTGAAGTCCATTATATGGAGAAAATCCAAAAACCTTAATTTCTTTTCGACTGAAGAAAGAATGACGTGGACATCTTGGATGACATGGGGGTGAGTAAATTATCAGCAAAAGCTTTTTTAAAAGTGAACCACTCCTTTAATTTCTCCTTATAGACTCGTACCGTCTGCACTTTTCTTCTGACTCTTCTTCTTCTTTTTGTTTCTCTGGTCGAGGATAATCTGAGCCTCTGCCGACTGCTGCAGCTTTCCGATGAACAGTTCGATGTCATCAAAACAATGATTGAGCACGTCCTATAAATAGAGAGCGAGAGTCGATTAATCATTTGGTTTCTTTCATTTTGTTCTTTCATTTGGTTCTTCTTGATCTTTGTAACTGTTGTTAATGTAAACAGTGATATCAGTGTGGCGTTGTTGGTCAAACTGAAGGTCAACGGCCTTCTAAACTAACTCAACAATACATGCTAATTCGGTCATACTTCGGGGACAAATAAATCACGCTTTCCAACAAATATTAAGCAGCATATTGATAATAATAATCATAAATGTTTCTTGAGCAGTAAATCAGCATATCTTCAGTGTGATCATGTGACACTGAAGACTGGAGTAATGATGCTAAAAATTCAGCTTTCATCACAGGAATAAATTACATTTTAAAATATATTAACATTTTATTTAAATTGTAATCATTTTCCAAATTTATAACCGCAGTTTTGATCAAATAAATGCAGCCTTGATGAGCATAAGAGACTTCTTCTCTCTGTTTTTGTTTATTTTTCCCAACTTTTCACTAGTTGTGTGTGTGTGTTTATATATGTACTCACCACTTCCATCTGAGCCTTTAGAAATGACTTATCAGGTTGACCGTTTGCTTGTCCGTTAACTAGAAATAAGATTTGAGGTTAGATTTCAGATTAAATCTGATTATAATAAAAAAATATCGGTTGTGTTGATTCACACACACACACACACCTCTGATGCCCGGGTACGGTGGCGGGGGATTGGACGAGGGTGGATTTGGGGCTTGTGTGTATGGAGGGCTAGGAATTCCTGAAATATCCATTCGGGACTGGGAAAACCTGAAACACACACATTCACATGAAAACTCCCTTTATCCAGAAGGACAGTGTGTGTTGCGGAAAAAGTACGCTATTGATGTGCGTCACGGACGGTGCTTCAAATTAAATGTGGTTTAATTGCCGACACACAATGATAATCAGTCACCAACAATCACATCAAACATCTTTCGAGTTTAATAGCACCCATATATGGTAAAAAGCAGCTTTTTATCTTCTAAATAAGACGTTATCGTTTAAATAAAGACTTAAACACTATTTGTATGCTATGAAGCTATGAAAATGAGTTAGTCAAAACTACAAAGCAGAGTAAAGTGCTGTACATTAAATAATGACGCACCACAGTCATAGTGAAGATAATTATAATGATTACACAGTAACCCAAACCCTGAAAGAAAACCTTTAACATTTTTAAAATAAAAGACATCCACAAAACGTCAGATTGTTGTTTTTGTTTTAAAAAAAAAATCAGATTTCGCTCTTATAGTGACAGTGCACAAGTCTAGGTTAACCAACACATAGCTATTCATAAATAATACTAGAAAATATGTTTGGCATTCAGTTTGACATTGAGATGCCTTGAGGTTAGTTCAACATGTCTCTTGCTGTGAAACACACACACACACACACACAGATTCGATCTCATTCACGTAGAGCAGATGAAGATAACACACTGTACCTGACTGCAGTCCTGGTTGTAAGTGTTTAGTCCTAAAGGACCGCCGAGGTCGAATGAATCTTTATTCCCCTTGGAAACTCTCCCTGTACTCTCAGTCACACCTTCGTAAGCTATGTAGAAACTGGTTAAACCGGTCTATCCGCTCGGTAACAGGTTCTCGTCTCTCTGTCTCGGTTGTGAACACAGTGGAAATGACAACATCACCCGACTGTAAAGATCGCGTACCTGTTTGCTCTTATTGAGTAATGCGACACAACTCGCTTGATGTCATCTCTTATCTGCTCCGCCTGAAATGTGCAAACAGGTAGACGGTGATGTCATCGTAGAGGTGGAGCCACACAACAGTATCACCTGAATCAAGGGTTGACTGCATGCAATGAAACATGTCTCACTTTGACAGACGCACAGCTGAAGAAATACACACTCGGCCTCTTCTGGGCGCAGCTCTGACACACCAACAGGAGGAGGAGAGCTGGATCACGGAGACATGGGGAACGTATGCAGTCGCAGCGGAGGAGAGACCGCATGGCAAACTCCTCCAGCTCCTCATCAATGGTCAGTCATGGAACAATCAACACATTCAACTGATAAAATAGTCTGCACAAAGTGCAATGCTTCACATTGAGTGTGCATTAGATCAAGTGTCTATATGTGCTTTTAAAGGAGTAGATTGCTGATAATTTACTCACCCCCATGATGTAAAAGAAATGAAGGTTTTTGATGAAAACATTCCAGGATTTTCTCCATATAACGGACTTCAATGGGGTCCAAACGGTTCAAGGTCCAAATGAGAGTTTCAATGCAGCTTCAAAGGTCTTTAAACGACACCAGACCATGAATAAGGGTCTTATCTTGCGAAACGATCGGTTATTTAAAAAATTAATAAGAAAGTTTAAATTTTATAAGCACAAATGCTCGCCTTGCTCTTTTCTGTGATGTGCGTTCGTGACTCTCCTGTTCGAACTCGTTCATCAAAATTAACGAATCTTTTTTCAAGTCATGACTCGAAGGGTCCTTGATAAGACTCTTATTCATCGTCTGGTGTCGTTTGAAAAGCCCTTTGAAGCTGCACTGAAACTCTCATTTGGACCTTGAGCCGTTTGGACCCCATTGAAGTCCATTATATGGAGAAAATACTGAAAAAAACCTTAATTTCTTTTCGACTGAAGAAAGAAAGACGTGGACATCTTGGATGACATGGGGGTGAGTAAATTATCAGCAAAAGTTTTTTTTAAATTTTTTTAAGTGAACTACTCCTTTAATCCAGCTGGTGTTTTTTAGTGGATTTGCAAGAACATTTTACATTCATGCATTTGGCAGATACTTCTGCCCAAATAGACTTGCATTGCATTCCATTCAAGTTAATACATATTATCGTTTGCATATGATAAATGCATGCACAACTAAAGCCCTAAAGACTTTTGGACCATGCTTGTTTTTTTTCTTTTGTGTTCTTTGCCATCAGTTTTATTGTTAGTGCATGCAGTTGCTCTGTTCCGCGTCGCATGCTTACCTGGTTGTGCCTGTCTCTCAGGATGACCTTGTTGGTCTGGACCTCCAGCATCACCTCGGCACTGGACAGCCGATGAGCATCAACAAGAAGTGCAATCTGTGAAAGAGCCTCTTCAACCGTATCCACACCCTCATCTCCCAGAGAAAAACTCACCAGCCGCTCGATTCAAAATAGAGGAAGAACAAAACGTTATCATCACTGATAACAGGCTGTAAAAAAGCACCACGCATGAATCACATACAACATTCCTAGTTGTTAAATTGCTTTAATTACAGATAATTAGCTTTAACTGATAATTGACCTTTCTGGAATTATCAGCATTGCAGTATGCACATTTAAGTCAACATGAAACTGCATTATATTTCTGTAATATGATGCCCAAAACTGGATATTCAATGGGAAAATGTTGAAAGGGGCCGTGATTGAATTCAATTCTGATTTCATGCAGACTTGAAATACCTATTATACACACCCTGTTTTCCATAATAAAATACTAAGCACTTATCTGTACATCCATATGAAAGAATCCACTTCAAATGCATGTAAAAGCAACCTCTCGATTTATAGATGTGACTCACGACTCAAGAAGTTTGAACAACCATAAAAAGTCTTGCATTGACTTGTTCATTCCTATCAGGTAGTGCATATTTGTATTGGTCTTTAGCCAGCATATTAACTCACTGAAGTGCAACCTCGTTTCATCGAAGTCATATCATTAGCTGCTAAAGTAAATAGTGGTATGAGGGTTTAAGTTGACATTAAGCTAAGACTTGAATGGTTGCTCAAATTCTTGGACTGGGAATTAAAGGAGTACTATACTACTCAACCCTTGATGACACTCACAGTAAGCCGGTATTGCTCCCCCATCAAGACCACCGACTGTCACACACCTGTGGAGACTCAAAGATGAAACATGCATATGTGACGTTGGTGTTCAAATGTATGTGACTGATGACGTTTCAGTACAGTTTCCTTGTCTTTCTCATCCTGTTCGACCTGTCTGTCTGCCTACATGCTGACCTTCACTTTTACAGTCATGCACACAGAGCATATCGCAGATGCTTTATTATGAGGAATTAATGAAATACAATGAGCATCTCTTTAAGTATTGAGGCATTAAAAAAAAATGAAATAAACAGAAACTCTGACTCATTTAAGGAACAGTTCAGGCAAGGATTAATATCGTGTCATCATTTACTCGCCCTCATGTTATACCAAACCTGTATAACCTCCATGGAACACAAAAGGAGATATTGGGGAGATTAGAAGATTGTCAAGCTGCTCGTTTACAAAAAACACCTTAAAACCAAAGTGCAATATTCCAATGACAGCGTTATGTGACCCAAGCTGAAGATCATATTTGCTAAAAATGTCACCCTCCACCAATTGTGAATGTTCATCTTCCAAACTAAATGCATAAACACTAAATCAATAACTGTGAGTAGCCTATATATGCAGCATGAACATTTTTCACAGCATCTCCTTTTACATTTCTAGGAGAAAGAAAGTATAAAGGTATGTATAAGTAAGTTATGACAGAATTTCATTTTTATATGAGACACACATGCATGTTTCTATTGAAGAATTTCACAAACAAATCTCATCTTCTCATTTCATCCATGTGTAATAATCTATAAACAACTATAATACAGGAAAATGCTCTTATACTCACCTTCTGCTGCTGAGACGGTTGTCTTCTGACTAGTATTCTCAAAACTAGATGTATTTGTGTGTTAACCGACCGGACATTCCTCTCACAGAGATCACAGAAGAGATGAAGGTTATCTGAGATGGAAAAAATGTCTTAGGTGAGTGATCCTTATTTCTAAACTTATATCCATTATTATTGGATCATTTATTCCCATTTTACCAGTGTTTAGGGTAATGCATTACAAGTAACGCGAGTCACGTAATCAGATTTATTTTTTCAAGCAACTAGTACTTTTACATTTACGGCCTAAGTTACTTTTTCAAATAAGTAACGCAAGTTTTGCCCGTGTTGAGAGAAATCATGTATAAACATTAGGCCTACAGTTATTGTAGTCATGCATTAACTCATGTCACTTGCACAAAAACCGATTCAGTCTTCCTCAATGTGAATAAAAAGTTATAGCCTCTTGGGCAAACCTCCAATAATTAAATATGTTTACATTATACACTCTCCGAAAAAAAGTACAAAAGCTGTCACTGGCGGGGCTGTACCTTTTCAAAAGGTAAACTTGTCCATTTTAGGTGCTAATATGTACATTTTTGTGTGTTAATGTGTACATTTTAGGTGCTAATATGTACCATTAAGGTACCAAAAGGTACAAAGGTTTACCTTTTGAAAAGGTACATCCCCAGTGACGGCTTTTGTACCTTTTTTTCTGAGAGTTTATAGAAATATAGGCTACCCGTTACGTATTCAATCTCACTTTCGATGTATTTGCTGCTGGCCCGATTCAACCATCACATTTGCTGTCTGAAGTAAGTGTTGAACTTTCTGATATGTTATAATACAGACGTGAATTTGCCTTTCCGTCAGCCTGATGCTGATTCGTTTCACCTTTGGTGTGAAAGGGCCTTTACATTTGCGATAAATATAACTTTTTTAGTTATTAAAAACAAACCAGCAAGCCAAGCAAAGGAGAAAACGTAACATAATGCATTACTTTCCATAAAAAGAAACTAAGAAACACAATGTTACCTTTTTAAGAAGTGACGCAATATGGTGGTATATGCCATTATAATGCATTACTTTTTAAAGTAACTTTCCCTAACACTGCATTTTACAATATCCCCTTTAGTTGAAATACTCAGTGACATTTTAGTCTGAGGCTTATCGTCTGTTTGTTAGCTTTGAGGTCATATCTGCCCAGCTCTGTGCAGTTTCCCCAAGCTTTCCCATGCATGAGTCCTGTAGCACAGAATAGTAGGCGGGGCCTGGCTGTATTTGGTCTGGTGTTGGGCGGGGCCTGGCTGTGTTTGGTATGGTGTTGGGCGGGGCCTGGCTGTGTTTGGTATGGTGTTGGGCGGGGCCTGGCTGTGTTTGGTATGGTGTTGGGCGGTTCTTACTTGAGATTGACAGCTGAAATGTGGAAGGACTCAACAACGTGGCAAAATAAACCCCAGAGGAGGAATGAACTTTCTCTACTGGGCTGAAACAGCAACTGTACTTTAAAATGTAAAGGATCGTTTAGTCCCGACTCATTTTTCTTTATTGATCCACTGGGTCCTGACATTTCAGCTGAATTTTAAAAGTCTTGGATAATTTATTTAGTTTGTATGTCTGATCTTCAGAGGTCAACGATCCCGTAGAGGAATCTGCTACATTATCAGTCACACGATGGTATGTTATAACAAAGATGGTTGATTATTGTGATTCACTTATTAAATCGTATTAAATTTACATAGCAGCCAAACGCAGTTTTAAAATGTCAAAAAAGTATTGTAAGACAATATCTATGTAGTCTAGTTTGCATGTTGCTTATGAGTCTTTTGAATAATTAGAAATAATTTAAGGCTATTATTTACCTTGGCAAGACTTACTTTACTCTATCATATAATGAGAATAGTTTTGTGTCAGTTGGGTCACTTTGACAGTAAAATAATATGTTAAGCGCGTCATGACCTGACAGCGCCACCTGTTGGTTCTTTCAATCTTGGTGTAATTTTCTTACTTATTGCATCAGTCATCATTTCTGGAGGAAACCTTAATAAAAATATAAACAATTTAGCTATTATAGATGTAGATAATCTAGAAATAGGCCAACTGACTGATGGTAAACGATGAGTTGAGTTAACCTCGATGAGTTTCAAGGAAAAACAAAGTGAAAATTTGTTGTGTGCATTTAATATCTAACAAAATAAAAAGAACTAAGAGTAGCCTAACACTAAAGTACTTTTGTAATCTTTCGCGATTAATACTATAATTTTTTTATCATATATTTTTATAACTTATAAATTTACATTCATAAAACGTTTTATACTTTCAATTGCTACGTTTAAAAACTAAAGGTGATACTTCATGCTAAAGCACGGGCTCTCACAAAGCCTCGAGCGTCGGTAAGTGGGCGGGGCCTGGATACTATAGGGCGCGCGCGCAGAGGATGGGTGTGTTGCGTCACTTGAGTGAGGTGGTTTCGTAGTAAACCCACAACCACACCGGAAGAGTAGTAAAACGCGCGAAAAAAATTGGTGTCGCTCGATACATCAATCATTATTCGTGTAGTTTGTATGTGTACAGTTCGGTTAGGGAAGCTGTAAAGTGATTTCTTCAGAGGATTTGAGCCGCACGCGGGTTCCGTTGACAATAGCGCTCGCGCCATGATAACTCATCATTAACACGTGCACGGATGTTTGAGAGCCCGAAAGAATCAAAGACGGAACAGCAGAGGTGAGAATTAATTTAATGCATACATGTACTATATATTCACGAAGGACATTAATACTAAGTTTAACGGATTTACATGCTACGTATCGATAATTATTTCATTTTAGTTGCCTGTGAGATGCACCGGCTGATCTGTGACTGGTTGAACTGCTTTATTGACTCTCTGTGGTGTTAGATATCTCCAAACTAAAGCGCTTATTCATGTACATATTCAATTGAATACTTGTTTTAGAGTGGTTTTAAAGCGACAAGGAGGCAATGTTTCCTGCTGTCAGGATTGGAAACGGCGCATGCGCCTGTACACCTACACCGTGATGTTAATGTCCGGGAATTTTTTTTAAATGGGTTTCCTGACATTGAAAAAAAATGCATTTAGGCTATTTTTGACTTTGAATGTGGGCTCTCGATCTCTTTAAACTCAATTTTATTCTACATTTCTTACTGTTCTGTTTTGAAAACCACTTGATTATGTTATTATTATTATTTATTGATGTTATTATTGATGATGGCAATAGCACACTTATTATTAGTATGCAGAAGTGTGCTATGAATTTAGATCAAGCTTTTGTTTCATTGCATGTCATAATTGTCAACAGTAACCTTAATAGCTTCAAATGTTTGTAAACCATGCAAATAAATAAATCAATTGAACATTGAGTGCTTTCACGTTGCATATTATAAACAAATTGTGCCTCTTTAAAATCCATATCCGATAATCACAATTCACATGTAGTTTTTACTCTATCGTTTGTTTGTTTGGACTGATTACTCATCGGAAGTGAACTTCAGTAGCAGTCTGACAGGAACAGTTTTGTGACTGAATTGGCAAGATAAGATAGATTTTTTATATTAGCATATTTTCTAACAAAGTCCAATCTTCAAAGCAGTGGCGTAGCTTTATGTGTGATGTATTTGAATATAAAAACAAGCTTCTGTCTCTCTCTCAGATGACGTCAGAGAAACCCCCGTTACCTGAAGACGGCCGGCGGGACGAGGCTGATCTGGGTTCAGGGGTCGAGCAGCAGGTCACGCTGGAAATGGCCCGAGACGGCTGGGACAGTAAAGTGGAATATTTCCTCGCACAGGTCGGATTCAGTGTGGGATTGGGAAACGTGTGGAGGTTCCCGTACCTCTGCCATCAGAACGGAGGAGGTGAGTGAGGACGAGATGGGTTTGGTTATGCAAAGACTATCCAGGCTTATATTTAAAGTCCCCCTGTAGTGAATTTTATCCCTTAAAACTCACCAAAATTATATATTTAAATTCGGGCTGGGCACATTAACGTGATTTATTAAAGCTGTAGTCCGCATTTTTTCCCTCTTTGTCGCCATCTCTGTTCGAAACCTGCAAGTGCAGCTACTCACCGATTATCAACTTTACGTGGGTTGTGGCACGGCACAGCGCAGAGGAACACAGTGTTTGAGGTGTGGATACTGGCATTCACAATCACAGATTATTCTTTTAGAAGTATGGCCAACGTAATAATTGTTCTGACATTACAGTAAATCACGCCGATTAAATCTAACAACCGCTTATAAGTAATCATATCACGTCAAACCATGCAAATTATACTTTGTTCTCAAATTGTTAATGTTCAACAACAGCATTGCGTGACTACATGTAATGTCCTTCCGATATTATCCTTGTTTTCGCATGGGTCTCTTTTTTTCCGTTGCCGGTCTGAAGTCAGAACAAAGTCATTTGCATTTTACAGCGGGTGAATCTGTCGTCACAGGTGATTGTTGTTTGAACCGTTCTGGATCCGCCATCAAATTATAATTATGTAGTGTAATTATATCTATCGCTGTTAGAAAAGGCTTTAAATCTCCACCTCCGGCATCCTCACACGCAATATAGTCTACAAGCCAAGACTCTTGTCTGTGTGTGTACAGATCTGTGTGTGTGTGTACAGATCTGTGTGTGTACTTAGAGATGTATAGTAACGAAGTAGAACTACTTAAGTACTAAAATGCTGTATTTGTACTCTACTAGAGT